ATATTAAAGAATGCCAATATTTTTTTTTCAAAAATCTCTTATACGTAATATATTTTTTCCACAACAATTCTTCAATTTTTGTCTTTTTATATCCATTCTTCAAATTCTTCAATACTTCGCAATTCTCCTACTGGTAACAACTTTCTTCACATTCTTCATATTCTTCATTTTCTTCAAATTATCTTGTTACCATTTGATACCATAGTCTTTTGTTTATAATGGCGGGAAGTTTTGACATGTTAGCGATCAGTATATAAGATTTAACATATGGAAGTATTGTTTATTAATTAAATTTGAAATCAATGGTATACATATGTTATCTAAATACAAAAATCAAACAAAAAATTAAACTAGTTTAGAATAAAAAGGAAAATTGCTACAAAAAACAAAAAGAAAAGAGTAAAAAGGAAAACTGCTGAAATTAACCAGTAACCACACACCTCCACTATCTGATTCAAACTCGCTCCTGTTAAGTGTTAACAGATACTCTCCATAATCGTATGAAAATATTTCCATCAGATGTTATATAGTAATAAAAAAAAGTTAAGTACTTATTTTATAAAATCCTTTAAGACAAAATGGTTCGCACGTGACACGTGAATCCTCGAGTTCGGGGCACGTGCAGAGCACGTCGTCCGTCCTCCCTCTCGAAGATTTGTTTTTCTTCTTCTTTTATTTCGTCAAAAAATATGATGTCATATTGGTTGATGACCTCGACATATGATTGGTTCATGTTGCAAATCTAATGTTAAATAACAATAATGACTTTCTATGTTAGATGATAACATACGTACACCTAAATAAATCCGTTTAGTTGCCACCAACATATAAACTAAAATTTATAGAAAAATTAGTAACATATCGATGTTTGCCCTTTAAATACTTATTTATAATAATACAAAAAAACTAATTGTCAACACATATCAGCTTTTTCTTGTTAAGATAAAATAAAATTACAATCCGAATAATTAAATACAATCATATATATTCCAATTATACGAATAAATGTACAAATTACGAAATGTTAATGGATCAAAAAAAAATATTAATAGGATTGTTTGGAAAAGTGAAGATGATCACTTCGCACAGAGATCATACTAATAGAAAAAACTCTAGCTACATAAACTTGTTTTAAGCAACTTTATTGTATAATTTGTATTCATCAGTACTATAAGTTGTTTTAAGCAACTTTATCATTCTGATTAATGTCGTATGAATCAAAGATTACCCAAAACTTTATCATTTCTGATAATGTATTCACCCACAACCAAATGTATAAACTGTCATTCTAATACTACAAAGTTTATATAATTTGTCATAATGTGCAAAATACAAACGTTTAGATCTTGCATCCACATAGTGATTTAAAAATGATAATTAAAATACATTATCATAAATTACACTTGTGGTTGTGTGTGAAATTTGGATAAGGGAATCTTTAGGGCTTTACAACAAGTTTTCCCTCATTGGACACCAACACGTATTGAGAATTGAAGAGCTTACATTAATCTATAGTATAATCAATTTTAATTAACTACATAGCTTAAATCCCAATTTTAATTAGATGAGATCTCATTGGAAGGATTATTATATCTCACGTACTTATTACGTTTTAATTAATTACACATTAAAACGATAATGCTCAAATCAATGTGTACAGTTAATGATATAAATCGAAAATGAGTGGCAAGTAATGGACAACTCACGAGATTGCATTCGCATTTATGTAAATTTTAATATCTAGTATTTCCTCCGTTTCAAAATATACGATGTTTTGGAGGTTTTTCTTGTTTTAAAATATAAGATGTTTTGACAATCATAAATACTTTTTATTTAACAGAATACTGTACGACCAATAATATTATGCAGTTTTATTTATAATTGGTGAAATTATTTTTATCTTATATATTAATTAATTATTTTTAAAAAAAAAATAATTTTTATTCTCCGCGCTTTTAGCCAAAACATCTTATATTTTGAAACGGATAGAGTATTATATAACTAAAGCACTCCTATCATAATTAACCTCTAATTGTTTGTGTTTGTATGTTTAAAATATTTTATTCGTACTTTTATAAATGTCTATATTAGGAAATTAAAATGTTGTGTATATTATATTCAGTAAACGCAATATAAAATTTTGAGTTTACACACGCAACACACACACATATATAACACCATAATATCGTTAATCACTATTCAATTATTTTTTTTGTTTTTAAAAAACTTTTCTTTGTCAGTTTTGAAAATGAATATAGCATATTTTAGATTTTTGTTTTAAATAAGAATACGTTATTTAATGTATAATTACTTAGTAAGCTCCCACCAAACGACTACTCGGCAGATGTTGCTGCAGAAATATAAAAAGAAGGGATCCAATGAGAAAAAAAACCCGTTAATTTCATTTGTCGTCGTTTTATATCTTATATTGACAGGTGTTACACAATTAGTTAATTTAGTTTGTTGCCAACTACGATTATAAATACAGTACCAACATGTGATTTAAATTAAAATGAATAGCATGTACGGACGAGAAAGAAAACATGTAAATATTATTAGGAGATATTTTTTAGTTTCTTATTAGCAAATTAAACATATAAAGATATTATTTGTAATGTTTCAAAATCGTTTTAAACCTTCAAATTAGTACTTTTATATTTGACAATTTTCCCTTGAAGTGAACAACTATTATTAACTTACATCTTCGTTATGGAAAAAATAATGTTTGTATTACAAAACACATGTGTTTGCCCACTTGAAACATTAATGACTTGCTCTCTTCTATCTCAGCACTTCGTATCCTCAAAATTTAAAATTTGATGTAAATCTTTTAATAATTCTAGAAACTCGATCACCAATATGTTTCATGACATAATTTTTTGTTTTCTTAAACTATTTCCTTACATGCGGATCTTCTATACCTACCTATATAAGTATATATCAACACGAACTAGCAGCCTTAGCTGTATCATCCATAAGACAAATTTATTACAGCAGAGTTGCATATGTTTTTACAAACAAATTATCAGTAATTCAACAATTGGAGAGAATTATTAGTATATTTATTTATAACCACTAAATTAAACACAAGGTGCACAACACTAAAATAAAGTAACTACTCTCAAATAAAATGAATATTTATTTTACTTCACTATGTTTTTTTAACTTGGACCCGTAGCTAATCCAAAATAACATAATCATTTTGTTATTGTGTATTTTTCACCAATTACAAAATTATACAAAACTCACGATTTTTATAATTCTCAACTTTACTGAAAACTAAAAGAATTTGACATTGGAATTAAAGCTTTTTTCGCTAAATTATCTATTATAGTGTGTATAAATATATATTCACTAGCATATCAATTCCACAATGTTTTTTTTTATAACTCAATCCCACAATGTTACTATTAAAATCTCTACTTTCTTAAAAAACCACAAAGCATTAAAACAACATAACCACCGAGTTAGTAACCATCATTTGGATTATGTAATTGTCTAGCTAGAGTGTTGCATCAAACCTTAACCTCGAACAACACTAAAAACATCGGATCACAACATACCAATACATAAAATAAAAAAAATTCATAAAATACTTAACTAGTAGTAGACAACATAAAAAAGAAAAAAAAAAAGAGGTTATAAGAGCTGGAGACATGAGCTGTGAAAACATGTCTGTATAGAAAGAAACCAAATCAGACTCTTTGATACATAGAGAACTAGTCATGTTATTTTGCAATTATGTCATTATTTGCTGGTCCCTTCCATAGATTGGAGCCCAATTCAAGACTTCATT